AGTACAAATTGTCTAAATCTGGATTTTTGGTCTACTACAGCATTAATCATGCTAAAAAAATAAATACGGGCTTTTCAACCGCGTATAATTTTTCATCGTAGAGACACAGGACCCGGGTCATTCGATGCGGTTTTTTTCTGTCATGGCAGTAAAAAGCCTTTAGGTTGTCTTTTCGCAAATATGCTTTCCTACGTCGATATTATAATAAAATGTGTACGTACAGTTTGCCAGCCAGTGGACTGCGAAATGTGTGGTTACTTTTATATGTGTATATGTCTGGTTGTATAGTATACTAGCTGCCCCCGCGAAGTTCGCTTCGCGTTACGTAGTTTATTTTACTTCTCCCTTTTAGTAGCAACATACCAATATATAGAACACTAGTTGACTCGGCCAAGCGTTGCTGTGGCTAAGGTTTTTGTTATATTACATAGTAGTAAACTATTCAAGGGAAACGGTAGGAGAACACCAGTCATGGGGACCATCATGCTTTTTTGGTGGTTATGCCTTTAAATTGTAGCTTATGTGAAACGTTGGTACTTTCAACACAGCGCCATCTGTTGGAATTGTGACTATTAAATAATTAACAAATGTTTTGCAATAAAATAATATTGCGGGTATAAATTGAGATGAAAGCTATCATATCTTTTAAGTTAGATCATACTGCACACGGTGTGCAAATTTGATTGAAATCGGTTAAGTAGTTACGGAGTCCATAGCGGAAAATTTTTCTGTGCCCCATAGAGACTGTTCGCTTTTCCGGAATAAAAACCACTAATATTATAAAGAAGATTTGTATGTAAGTATGTTTGTAACGAATTGGCTCATAAGTACTGGACCGATTTCAAAAATTCTTTCAACATTTGAATGCTACATTATCACTGATTAATATAGGCTTTTAACTGCAAGAAAAAATGAGGATCCCTACTAAAACTACAATAATGGCACCCAAGGTGTAAAAATTGCCTTTAAAATATCATCGCATGCGCTGCGAAAGCTATAGATGATAGAACATACAAATGATCCACAATATTAAGGAACATATCAATCTACAAAAAAAAAAAAAAGTGCACCCGTGCGAAGCCGGGACGGGCCACTAATGCTAAATAAAACTAAATTTTTAATTTTTTCCCCAACTTATTACATTTATGTATTCTCCTTGCAAAATTGTCCTTTCTTTGTAATCCTAGAGTTAATAAATATAGTTTAAAAAAAACTAAAAACACGCTTTTAAAGCACATCAATCTAAAAAGTGAAAAATAATTCCTAATTTAGGCTGAAAATGGTAATGAACAAAAAATATGGCACAGAGCGCGCCACGCTTTTTTTTTTTTGTTTGATGTGCTTTAAAAGCGTGTTTTTTAGTTTTTTTAAACTATATTTATTTTCCACTTTTTAGTCCTAGCAGCAATACGTGTTGTCTCAATTTAATCGTATTGCTTTGTGGACTTAAATAAAAATTCATTGTTTTTTCGAGATAAACCTATGAAATTATTATATTGTCGCTAATTCTTTATAAGTGTACAAAGTTTGAATTAAATCTGTCCGTTTAATGTGGGTCATAATCGAGTCCGAAGGAGTCGGTTTCATACATACATACATACCGGTGAAGCTAATATAAAGCGTGTAAAAAAATAAATCAGTGGCGCTACAACCTCTTTAAATCTAGGCCTCAGATTTCTAAATCTGTTTCATGATCATTTTTAAATCTAATAGGCAAGTAGGTGTTCGACCACCAGTGCCTGACACACTTTGACTTTTTGGGTCTAAGACATGTCGGTTTCCTCACGATGTTTTCATTCACCGTTCGAGCGAATGTTAAATAAAAACGCACATAAAAGAAAAGTCCATTGGTGCACAGCTGGGGATTGTACCTACGACCTCAGGGATGAGAGTCGCACGCTGACTCTTAATGAGGTTCAAGTTTTCATTTAGTTTTAGTTATCATTAGTCATTACTTTTATTTTGTGGTTGCTTTTTAATTTTTTTCCCTTACTAGCTTGCTTATCTTAATATATATAAATTACGCGTCACGTTGTTTGTCCGCTATGGACTCCTAAACTACTTAACCGATTTAAATCAAATTTGCACAACGTGTGCAGTTTGATCTAACTTAAAAGATAGGATAGCTTACATCTCAATTTATACCCGCAATATTATTTTATTGCAAAATATTTGTTTATTATTTGATACAATTCTAACAGATGGCGCTGTGTTGAAAGTACCAACGTTTCACATAAGCTACAATTTAATGGCACAACCACCAATAAAGCATGGTGGTCCCCATGACTGGTGTTCTCCTACCTTTTCTCTTGAATGTCTGCTAGTGTTCTTATATAATCGATGTGTGTGTGTGTTAAATTTGTGATATCATATTTTCATGTATAATGTTATGCGTACACTTTGTTTTAGAACTTATAAATAAATAAATAAATTGTTACGTTCTTATATTTTTGCCTCAGTCGACTAAAATATCGAATTAAAACTAATTAACTAATTACACGATGTTCATCTTGCAGCGTCTACCAATAGTTTTCTACATACAGTGTTCTTCGGATATCCTCTTCATCAGATTTGCTGCCACGCCACCTGCAAGTAGTTTCCGCCGGCCTACAGTCTACACAGCTGAAGGCCGAAAGAAACCCCTACAGGGGACGTGTATGCTGATTCTCTCTTCTTCTCTTCTTATTATTTCGGTGTCCATCTTTACAATTCATAATAAAAATACATTTAACGATATCACATATTCTAAATATATACATTATGACGACTTTTTTGGTGGATTCTTCTTCGCTCCGAATAGCAGAATAAGTCATAAAATATCGGGGAAATTATCGAATAAAAATAAATAAATTTTACGAATGCAAACACCATGTGGTGCCATCTGTTGATAAAATTACGCATATAAAAGAAACCTACCACTTTGTACTTGCGCCGGATTACAAAACAAAAAATGTTATATCAGAAAGTGCTTTAACATGCAGTATCGCAATATTGGCGCTAGAGAGAAGAGGCCTAATGTGTAAAACTGCCATTCTTCTTTCGCAATGGCAATAAAACATTTCTGTATTTGCAAAAAAAGTTGTATTAATGTTACCTTAATGGAATCCTAAAAAAAGTTTAAGTTTAGTTTTTTATAATATTGTTGTTACTTTAATTAACTAAAGTAACAACAATATTATCAGACTGTTAGGCGAAACGAAGTTCGCCGGGTCCGCTAGTAATATATAATGCTATATCTACAGTATATGTATCAATCTTTTCTAATTCATGACAATTATGGTAAACATACAAACAAACAAACAAAAATCATTTATTCATGAACACAATATTGTACACTTATGAATGTCAAAAAAAAGAAATATACATTAAATGCTTCTAATTTTACATTTACTGCCAGTTCTCAAATCAAGAGCGTAGAACGAAAGAGACGAACTGGCAGTAAACTCTACACCACTCTTTTTTATCGCCAAGTTTTTGTTTTCCACAACGTTTTTAAAGAGCTGCCAACCATTACACCATGTTCCACATGACATCTTAAGTAATAAAATAAATTAAAAACAAAGATTTGTTCTCTATCAGCAGGAGGCATAGTGAAATAGGAGCACGCACTTACATTCTCGTGGGAATAACACGCAAATACATAGTATTGTCTTTTATTGACATAACCTTTAAAAATTTAAAGAAAACACTTTTTTACCGGATTGAAGTTATGTATTATTATAAATTTACAATTAACTTCAATCCGGTAAAAAAGTGTTTTTTTTTAAACGCAAATACATGGTCGAAACAACTAACATCACTGCATACACGAATTCAATTACGACCAGTCACCACAAGTAGCACCCGTTCACGAGTATGACGCATGGCCAGCCATCGGCCATAAATTAAAAAAAATTACTCGCAAAACAGCGGGTTAGATATCAGATAGGCACTTAATGCTTTTTTTAATTGATCAGCCCACTACCAAACCAAACTCTGGAGAAATATTGTTCATTCTCTTCATAATCGCGAAGAATTCTAATGATAGCCTGAACTCCGAGATTGGTGACAGACGGAATTTGGAAAATTGTGCTAATTTTGAACCTTTGGAATAAGGAACGACGATTTTAATATTCTGTATTCTGTTCTGTATTTGACCATTTTACAATATGTATAAGAACACCGGCTAGATAGCTCCCAACGTAGTTTTTTTTTAGAACAGAGAGCAAACGGGTTCAGGCTCACCTGATGTTAAGTGATACCGCCGCCCATGGACACTCTCATTACCAGAGGACTCGCGATTGTTGCCGGCTTTTTAAGAATTGGTTCGGAAATACTTTAGCGGGCAGCGACTAGTGGTGAGAGGTGGTGCGCGGCAAAAACTGGACATCGAGGTGATACGGGTGGAATTTCGTATTCTGCTTCGACTTCAACAACTCCTCTGAACACTACATGGTAAATGCGGTAGAAGTACTTGTACTAATGAATCGATCGCTTGTGATTCCCAAATTATAAATTTGTCCATGCACAACAATTTGACCTTTTGACCGATTCCAATAACGTATGGGGACAACCGCATTTTAAGGAAGCTAAGCAATTAGAAACAAATTTCCCCTAACCAGGGTGACAATGTCACAGTCAAAGTTACCCCCTGAATCCGCCCTTGTCTTGACATCATTTGCATTCAATGAATATCTTAGGAGATGCCCAAGTCGAAATAGCTTCGCAAGAAATGATTACGTATGCATTGAAGATATTGCGAGACAATCATAACATTAAAAAAAAACAGCTGCTGCAGTCAGATGACTCAAGCTCATGAACAGAAGGTCTGTTTAGAGCATCAGCTTTAAAACAAGCAAGATGCAACACACACACACAAACTCGTGATACTTGTAACACATGAAAATTATTCTTTTTGTCACCATCTCATGTAAAATGTTGTAAGGAAAATGAAATGGATACTTCCGGATCCAGTATTCTAGTTCTGATGAAAGAGAATTTAACAATAGAAGGTAACATACTTTAAACCAGCTACGATCTCCATGGCTCCGTTGAAGTTTCCTATGTTCCAGCAGGTCAGTGCCACGCGTAGGATACAGGCGAGAGCTTCTTTTCTCTCCTCTGTTGATCCCTGGTTGAGGACCAGATCTGTCACCCAGGCAGACACCTGAAAAGAACGAGAACGATTGAATGTTTTTATATATCTTTAATCCGTATGTATGTAAAAAACAAGTGCGTGCGTACAAAGTCAGAAGTTAAACTTCTTTGGCAAACTAATTTTTAAGTTTTGTTCATATTTATACAAATCTAAAACTTTACATTTCCGAGACTTAGAAAGAAGATAATATGTTAGGAATTAAAATAATTTTATTATCATTAAAATATTAAAAGTGTCGAAAATTAATAAAAATTTATTTTTTATATTTATTTCTTCCATAATAAAAACACGTGGCATTTTAATTTACAATTCATCTTTTGAGATTTAAATAATTTATTTGGCATAAAATATAAAATAATAATATTTCATAAATTCTCTTTACGAAATTTTAATTTTAAAAATAGAATTTCTATAAGGTAATTCACCCTTCTCAATCGGTCTCTCCCTTTTCTTCGACAAAAACGCTGCACATGTTCGTGACGTTCCGTAAAAATTTTACCCTCATGCGCCTAAAGAAGTATAACTTCAAAAATTGTTTAGCCCCACATAACCATATAATTCATTTCAAATATATATTTTAATAACTATGTGATATTAGTGCGTTATTATGTATGTATATAGTAATATTAAATTCATAATAAACACACAAAAATAACCCATGACTCATACAGTCCCTATGGGAGGAATTTACATCAATTATTCAGTGAATCGATATTCACAAAAGTCGGTCGCGTCATTTAAATAAACTAATTTTGTTAACCTATAAAATAATTCTTTATATTTATACAATGGCATTTTTTTGTTTCAGAGGGTAAACGGGCAGGAGACTCACTGGTGCACACATACATACTTTTTTTTTTATGGCTCTGGCACGATTTGTGCATTAGCCAGCGTCAAGTATAGGATTTTTTATAATTCGTGCTTGTCTTTAGAAATTCGACCGTGTCCTTCATGTACGGTTTAAGCACTCGCCCGGTACCGCACAACCCTCCCAGAGGCCGAGAACAAATTTAAATTAAAACTTGCCCTCGAACCGGGAATCGAACCCGGTACCCCTCATCTAGCTGCCACTTAATAAGACCGCTAGGCTATGAGGCCCCCATACATACATTAGTGCATAGCCGGGGTTTGAATGCATGCGTTAGCAAACTTCAGCTAACAGGCCTACACTGCTTTTAGATCTAGATTATTTAGATCTGGGACTCAGATTTCTGTATCTGTTTCAGCCTTTTGTGTCTGACTCACGCTGACAATTTTTGTTGTCTAAGGTATGTCGGTGTCCTCACGATGTTTTCAATTCAAGTGTTAAATGCGCACAATCCATTGGTGTACAACAGGGGTCAAACCTACGATCTTAATGTCTCATAGTCGCTGAAGCCACTAGGCCAACATTGGACTGTTTATTATTATATTATATTTTATACCTAGGTTTAAAGATATTTATTCTCATAACAGACAATAGTCACTTACATGAGAACTTATATACTAACTAGCGACCCGCCACGGCTTCGCACGTTATTTAATTGGATAAGGATTAATGCTGTATTGGTTAAAATCGCTTCGAAAATTAGCCATTATTTGTCGTAAAATGTAAATGACAAAAACAATTATTGTGAAATATCCATAAGAGATAGACATATACCATCGTGGAGTTTTATGTAGACCTTTTCAATGTGTACAATTATTAGTATTTTTTTTTAATAAATCTCGGGGGGGGCGGCTGGGGTTGCAAAGGGAAAGGGAAATTTTTTTTTTTTTTCCCCCCCCCTTAAATCCCCCAAAAATAATTTTTTTTTTTTTTTTTTTTTTTTTTTTTTTTTTTTTTTCCACATCACTCTATCTATTTAAAAAAACCGCATCAAAATCCGTTGCGTAGTTTTAAAGATACATAGGGATATAGAAACAGAGAAAGCGGCGTTTTATACTATGTAGTGAAGATACAATTTATCACGCCGTGGGTCATTGAAGAGCTTCAAGGATGAATTAGCGAAGTAGAAGTTGGGTTTCATTTACGTAGAGAACTGGGATCACTCAAGAAGTATTTTAGTCTTAATTTAAGGATGATTATTAATCAATCCAGAGTCCAGAATACGTATCATGAATGTCAAAATTTAAGTAGTCACATATGTGAGTTGTAAGCTAAATATAGATTTTTCCAGAAAACTCAAGATAAGCGATGTTTTTCAATATTTTCTTGGCTTTCCACACTGGCAAGCGCTCAAGTGTTCGCTTGAAGTGAAATAGCAAGGTTAAACACTTAGCTTACTTCGTGCCAAATACACGAACTTTGTAGTTGAAATTATGTTTTAGAACAAGCTTTCGATTTGGTATAGCTTTTCGAATGCTAAAATTTTTTTAAGAAATTTAAACAAATAATACAAAATACCATCCCGGTATCACCTCGACTTCCGTCGTTCCACAAATGATCGTTTTAAGGCAGTTTATGCACCACTCACACTCAGCTGCCCACTGAAGTATTTCCGAACCAATTCGACTTTTCGAGTGTCCTGCCAGAAAAAAGCGTACCAATTCTTGAAAGGCCGGCAACGCACTTCCGAGCCTTCTGGCAATGTGAGTGTCCATGGGCGGCGGTATCACTTAACATCAGGTGAGCCTCCTGTCCGTTTGCTTCCTATTACATAAAACATAAATAAAAGAAGGCAGTTTATGCACCACCACTATGATGTGGAACCAGCTGCCCACTGAAGTGTTTCCGAGCCAATTCGACTTAGTGTCCTGCCAGAAAAAAGCATACCAATTCTTGAAAGGCCGGCAACGCACTTGCGAGCCCTCTGGCAATGTTTGTGACCATGGGTATCACTTAACAATCTAATGCCCGTTTGTTATAAAAAACTCTCAGTTGTGGAACGACGGACGTCCTGGTGATATTTAAGATTCTGTGTCCGCCGTACAAACAGGCACACACTTGGCCGTTTCGTAGACAATTTAAGTTCGCTATTTGATTTCGTTCCGTTCACTTTCTTTAAAGCGTTGACGTAATAACATTACCTACCCTCCGTAGGGTAACAATAAATTTTGCTTTTCAATAAATCTCGTGAACTTGTACAGTGTTTTAAGAGACAATTAAATAAGTGTCGCTACAACCTTTTTAGGTCTGGGCTTCAGGTTTTGTATCAGTTTAATGAACATTTGTCAATCTAATAGGCAAGTAGGTGATCAGCCTCTTGTGCCTGACACAGGCCGACTATTTGGGTCTAAACCAAGCCGTATTCCTACGATGTTTTGTAACGAGCGAATGTTAAATGCGCACATAGAAAGATATCCCATTGGTGCACAGCCGAGGTTCTACGATCACAGGAATAAGAGTCGCACGCTGAAGCATAAATCTGTCCAATTGTTGAAACTTTTACAAGTCCTTAATTTGTCGACATCACAGGAGACCGAAGAGCTGGCAGCTACCTAGGAAAAAGAATTAGTCTAGCTATTCAAAAGAGGGAACGCTGCATCTTCGGAACCTTGCCTAAAGGGACTCCTTTTAATAATATATTTTAGTTATTATATTTTGAGATAAATTATTGTTTTTAAGCTATTGCATATATTTTATCGCGGGCTTTGAGCGCGGCGACCGATTCAAGAAATTCCGTATCGAAAAAAACCTAACACACGATGACGTAATATGTGCGGAAAATACGCGTTAGAGTGGGACAGAACACATACTGCGCATTTTTATCTCTCTGACGAGATCGGTGACGATAGCGATAGCGTGAGCGCGGCTGGTTCTGGTACGCATTAGAGTGAGACAGACTATATAGGCGTTTTAGTCTGAGTCTGGTAGAGTAGTAGGTTGAAATAATATCAAAGAAAAAACTTGAATTAATATCAAAGAAAAACAAATACTGCATAAGTTGATAAAAAATGCTATGCAATAGCTTTACCGCGGCAGTCCCCGAGTGCCACACGTTTTTTTGTGTTGTTCTCTTTGTTATAATAATTTCTATTAAATATATTCCTTAATTATTTAATAAAACATTCCACGTATTCATCAGAGGAATGGTCACCGTCCTATCCAGGAAGTTGTCAATCCAATTAATTACGCAAACCTTTGTGGCCTGTCATCTCCACTTACGTCACAACTTAGACATTTTCACATTTATAAGACGTCATTATTGCTTTATACGCTATTTTGAAAGGAAAATATTTTTATATAATAACTAGCTGACCCGGCAAACGTTGTTTTGCCAGGTATGTATATTATTTCTAGAAAAAATTTGTTTAGTTCAATAAAAATAACTATCTACTATTATAAAAAAATAGGGGTTGATCGTAGAGGGGTGAAAATTTGGTGCTGTATGTATTTTTGTATGCTGTATCTTAAAATAATAAAAAAATTTTTTGGGGTGGTCACCCCTTATCACTTAGGGGTTTGAAAGATAGATAGAAGCCGATTCTCAGACTTACTGAATATGCATAAAATTCATGAGAATGGGTGGAGCCGATTCGGAGGAATATGGGAACGTTGTGACACGAGAATTATATATTAGATATTATCATTACCAGTGGTTCTACAACCTTTTTAGGTCTGGGCCTCAGATTTCTTTATATGTTTCATGATTTGTCAATCTAATAGGAAAGTATGTGATTAGCCTTCTGTGCTTGACACATGTCGTCTTTTTGGGCCAACTTCCTCACGATGTTTTCCTTCACCGTTCTAGCGAATGTTAACGCATCGAAAGTCCATTGGTGCACAGCCGGGGTTCTAGGAACTCAAGATGAGAGTCGCACGAACCCACTAGATCAGCACTGCTCCAGCCGTCCATTTACCCCCACTTATCAAAAAACCTTCGAGTAAAAGTTCTTGTATAAATATGGTCACCCTACAGAATATTGTCCCCAAAGCGGATCATGGTCATCCTATATTCAAATAGGATCCGGCTTATACATGTTAATGTGATCGAATTTTGATATAGGGGAAACATTTCTATGGCCGTTCAACATCTGATATTAAGGGACTCACTTCCAGGCTAGTACCAGCTTCTAAAGGGTTGTCCGTTACGAAGTTCATCGTTCCAAAACTGAGCGTTTTAAGCTATTGCATAGATTTTATCGTAGGCACTGAGCGCGGCGACCGAATCAAGTAATTGCATAACGAAAATAAACCTAACACACGATGACGTAATATAGGTGCGCCAATACGCATTAGAGCGGGACAGAACGCAAACTGCGTCTCACATCGGTCTGGCGTGATCGGTGACGTAGCAAATGTGCGTTAGAGTGAGACAGAACATATACAGCGTATTCACATCTCTCTGACGAGATCGGTGACGTAGCGTAATCGCGGCCGGTGCAGCCGGTACGCGTTAGAGTGAGACAGACTATATAGGCGTGTTAGTCTGAAAATAATAGGCAAATTTACGGGCCAAAATAAACATCTCCACGACGTGACAGACAGTCCTATGTGCTGGAGCAGTTTCAGTGCCTCTGCACGGCGACTGATTCCTCTGAATCAGTCGCCCGTGTAGTCCTGCGCGTACTTTGTTTCTCACGCGGAAATAATTTCCTAAAACCATGGCCACCTTCAGTAACACAGCCTTAAAGTACCTAACATCTTTATAATGGCAACACCCTATATTTACAGCGTAACGGGCACGTGACGCCATTAGACTCTAGGGATGTCGTGTCGTTATCGATTAATCGATATAAAATAAATAGATAGGTTTTCGATAGACGAACTTTTGTGTAAAAGTCCGTCTATCGAAAACCGATACACATTGTGTCGTTATAATCCATCTGAAGCCAAAATCGTCTGTGAACTGCCATGTGACTTGCTCATGCAACGTAGGTATGATTTGAGAATCACTCCGTCCGCCCGTAATCTATGCTTAAAGATTTTATTGTATCTTCTAGTATTTCGTTTCGGAAGAAATTAAAGAATATTACGTGAGTAAAACAATTTTGATTATTGTCCAAAAAACTAGCTCCATGCTAGCAGTGAACCGCAGGTGCAAAGCGACTTCTTAGCTTCAAGAGAGAGAGATTATCTCGCAGTGATATTTAGATGGAGTTTACCACCCACTTAGGGCTACACTCTCAAGCAACCCGACTCTTAGGAGAGTCTCGCAGACTCGCCCCGTTGCTACGGGCTTGGCGCCCTCTGCGGCCAAACGGCCCCGTTCAAGACGAACTTGGACGGTAGCGGAGTCCGCAAGAAAGCGGAACCTCCCGAATACCTCACAGGGACAATTACGGGCCACTGTCTCCTAAACATCTCTTTGTCCTTGACGCGAAAGACAGTGCCTTGTACAGAGACTGTTTCAGCGCATAGGAATCAGTCAAACACGTAGTTTTTGCGTCCGTACTTCCCAACTTGCCTTGAGGACGCTCCGTAAAATCTGCGAAGTGCCATTTTACCTTTTAAACCCTTTGAGCTTCTGGAAGGAGCTGGGCTGGTCTAATTAGCCAGGACTAAACACAATAGGGAGCAGTGTTGGCCTAGTGGCTTCAGCGTGCGACTCTCATCCCTGAGATCGTAGGTTCGATCCCCGGCTGTGCACCCCACATAGAAAGAAAGTCCATTGGTGACTTTCTTTCTATGTGCGCATTTAACAGCTCGAACGGTGAAGGAAAATATCGTGAGGAAACCGACATGTCTTAGACCCAAAAAGTCGACGGCGTGTGTCATGCACTGGAGGCTGATCACCTTCTTGCCTATTAGATTTAAAAATGATCATGAAACAGATTCAGAAATCTGAGGCCCAGACCTAAAGAGGTTGTAGAGCCACTGCTTTTTTTATATATTTTTTTAAACACAACAGGCCTAATAATAGGTGTGTATCGATGTGCGGAAACTGAGTTCACACTACAAACACAGAATGTTAACAGTTAATTTGAATGTTTTATATAGTACTAGCGAACCCGACAGACTTTGTCTTGCATGATTTTTCAAGCGATTAGTATATCAAACAAAGTATGATAGTACCGACTGCAGCGCCATCTGCTGGGCTGATTTGCAAATCTAAACCATCCAGGGCGTCAACCAAACTCATACAAAAAAGCATTCAAATCGGTCCAGCCGGGAAAGAGAAGTACAGTGCCATACACACGTTCAGCAGAATTATTTATATATAAAGATATTACCTACATATTAGCTAATACAATTTATTCTTGTTACCCTTTCTAATAGTGTTTTTATGTATTGTTGTCTAGTTATAAGTAACTATAGTCTATTACATATACTTTTACCATTTTAAATAAATTTATTTATTATTATACATTCTCAATATAATAACTCCAATCGAAGCCTTTGTTTTAAACGATATTAATTTTTCTTAAATCCTCTTTGACGATATTTGCAGCACTTATTCTGTCAATGCTATGTCAAACGCCATAAGGTTACATCAAAAAAGTTTGAATTGTATGATGGTAAAGTAATCTTAAATTTTCTAATTTTTCACGCAATTTTCTTAATTTTTTCTTTCATAAGAACCTTCTCCTGACAATAACAAACACAACAAAAAAAGAATTAGCAAAATCGGTCCAGCCGTTCACGCGTGACCAAGGGAAATAGGGATTCATTTTTTTATATAGAAGATTCAAATTTAAAACGGTCAAATTCATATGGTTAATAAACTTTATTGTTGTGTTCTGTTAGAAACGCATTGACAGCTGCCATTATAATGTCACAGCGGTGTTAATCCGATCAGACATTGACGTTGTTCATTTGTTCCGTGACATAATGACAATGGCAGCTGACAGCTGCGCCATTACTCTGACAGAAACATAAATAGTAAATTAGTTAATAGTTAATTATTTCCAGATTCGTAATAAGGACAAATCAATATCAATTCAAATTTTATAGTACGTTTCTCAACCCTCAGGTCATCCACCCGGCTTAAAGATTAGGGATGCGTTCGTATCGATTGTTATAAATAGAAAACGTGTGTCACTTGGGGACTGCCAAGGTATTGCTATTGCATAGCATTTTTATCAACTTATGCAATTATAATTATTTATTTATGCAGTGTTTTTTTTCTTTGATATTAATTCAATCTACCACTCTACCAGACTCAGACTAACACGCCTAAATAGTCTGTCTCACTCTAACGCGTTTCGGCTGCACCGGCCGCGCTTACGCTACGTCACCGATCTCGTCAGAGAGATGTGAATATGGAGTATGCGTTCTGTCCTACTCTAACGCACCTGCGTACGTCACAGATCACGCTATACCGATGTGAGACGCAGTACGCGGTCTGTCAGATGCACAGAGGTCAGTGCAGGGCGTACTGGAGCTCTAAGTCCAGAAATGGACCAAATAAAGAGCCTGATGATAATGATAATAAAATAACGTGTAAAGATTTGGTATATGGATTTTATCGTGTGTTTATCGAGACTATAGAAATACTATCAAATGTAAAATAATTTAAATTTTATTATCGACCACGCCCCATCACTAGACGGCTCTAGAATTAAGGGACAATCCTGTATAATTATCCGGGATCTATTTATCGATAATTCGATACTAAAGAGCGTTCATTAGACATTTTCGTCACTTTACGAAATTAGGTACTTTTGTAGTCGTACACAACTGAGTGTTTTTTAAGGCAGTTTTTGCAACACTATGTGGAACCAGCTGCCCACTGAAGTATTTCCAAACCAATTCGACTTAGGGTCGTAAGGTTAAAATTACGTAAAGAGAATTTATGAAATATTAATAATTTATATTTTATGCAAAATAATTGATTGAAATTAACAAATTACGAATTGTAAATTAAAATGCCACGTGTTTTTATTATCGAAGAAACAAATTTATTTGTATTAATTTTCGACAATTTTAATGAAAATTAAATTCCCAACATATTTTCCTTTTCCCCTTCCTCTAAGTCTCGGAAATCTAAAGTTTTATATTTGTATAAATATGAACAAGACTTAAAAATAAGTTAGCCAAAGAAGTTTCACTTTAGACATGACGCACGCACATTTCCCGACACGTGTGGAACGGATGGAGGGGGCCAACGGTGGACAAACCAAAACCTGATAATGCTAGCTTAATGTTACATTGTATTTAACATAATGTGAAAAGTAATATTTTTTTAAATATCTTTATTTGTTTTAAGGAGTCATATAAATGCAACTTAAATGTTCAAGTTTTGCAAATAAGTTATTGTATCAGTGTGCCAGCTTGCCAGCTTTTATTTTATAAATAAACTGGCAGACTCGGCCAAGCGTTGCTGTGGCTAAGATTTTTGCTATATTACATAGCAGTAAACTATTCAAGGGATAAGATAGGAGAACACCAGTCATGGGGACCACCATGCTTTTTTGGTGGTTATGCCATTAAATTGTAGCATATTAGAAACGTTGGTACTTTCAACACAGCGCCATCTGTTAGAATTGTGACTATCAAATAATAAACAAATATTTTGCAATAAAATAATATTGCGGGTAAAAATTGAGATGTAAGCTTTCCTATCTTTTAAGTTGGATCAAACTAAACACGGTGTGCAAATTTGATTGATATCGGTTCGGTAGTTTAGGAGTCCATAGCGGACAAACAACGTGACACGTAATTTATATATATTAAGATAAGGAATGATACCTAAAAAAATTGACGTTTAGATGTTTACTGGTGCGACGCCATCTTGTCTAAACCATGGCGAGTTTTGAAATTATAATTAAATTTGACTTTGTAGACAGAATTAACTTGTATATGTTCTATAAAATATCAGTTATACATCCTATTTAGGTCTGGGCCTCAGATTTGTGTCTGTTTCATGTTTTGTGACGACGCCATCGTGTTGGGTCTAAGGCCTCACGATGTTTTACTTCATACTAGCGAAAGTTAAATACACACATAGATCCATTAGTCCATAGTAGAGTCCATTAGTGCACGGTTCTACGAGCTCAAGGATGGATGCACGGTGAAGCCACTACGCCAACACTTTACAATCAAATAGACTATACCTAGGCAACACTGAAAATGTTTAGAAAATGAAAAACGGCTTAATGTAGAAAGTTGCCAATACTTTTATTGTATATCGAAGTAATCTCCGTTCCTCTCTACACATC